CGTGAACGTGAACTTTCTGGCTCGTAAGTAAGTAGCTAAACTGAACGGTTCTACGAGCTTAGCGGACTATAAATATCTCCGGTTGCTAAATAAACCACCAGGCGAAACCAAGTTATTGTTTGTGAAAACTTTAGATTTCGATTGCTAAACGAATTAAAATTCAAATTATAATTAAAATTATTAAAAAAAGGGATCTAATATTACTAAACTAATGTGTTATTTGGCAAGTGACGATAGTATAAGCGGGTTAATGCCCGACGAGGTGTCCATCGTCTAGGGATTAATGGGCAACCGTCCGACGCACGTCATCCATTAATACCTGACAATGGACACCTCGTCGGGCATCAACCCTTACTTCACCAAGTCAAGATTTCAGTTTCATTTCCATTAAATGTTCCGGTTAGGAATTTTCCATAGAAATCCATCTTGAAATCTCTCAAAGTTTCGCTATCTTGTCTGTCTCCTCAAATTTCCTGGCTTCTCCTTTCATTTCCTCTCTTTTCCTGTCCCATTCACACTCGACCTTCTTTCTACCTCGAATCGCACACCCTCTTTTTAGTGGAGCTTGTGACGTTGTTGTTTTCCTCAAGTGTTGTGTTGCTAAGACTCATGGGAAATACACTAGTACAGTACTGTCTGGCGTCGTGAACTTCTTTCTTAGATCCTGTGGCCTGAAAAAAAAAGAAAAAAATGAGTGAGAGAATCGAGCCCAAGCCTTTGAATCTCAATCAAGCTTTGGTAAAAGAGATGTTTTGCAGGATTGCCTGTCTGATGTTTTGCTGAAGCTGAATCTGGATGTTGTACGCAAACAATGAACTCTGCCTGCGGTGCGCTTGCTAAATGAGTTTGGCCCATGTCTAGACATGCTTGATATTAAAGGAGAGTCCGTTGCTATTCACACACTCTTAGAGTTGAATGAAATGATTCTTGAGGCTTTAAATTGGACCTATATGCTCTTTTTTTTTTCAAAGTCTTGTTGTTTCTGCTTCAATGTTCATTATTCTCCTCATATTCTCCATTGTTGCGGCTCCTCTCTTCCCAGTCCGTCAGTAACGCTCTGTTTAGTTCCTGTCTCTATGAAGCTCCTCCTTCTGAAAAGCACACTGTGCTCTGATTGGTCAGCTGGATCAGTGTGTTTTGATTGGTCGAGTGCTTGGAGTATATTTGGGAAATGTCCCGCCCCTTCCCATAACCGCCAGTTTAACACACTACTAACTAACTCAACCAGGCCACGCCCCTTTTATTAAGCGCATTAATTATTATAATGAGGAATATTGTGACGTGTTTGTTCCTGGTTCATTCCTGTATTGAGAAGTGGTTTTATATTTACACTTCCGATTTTTATAAATAGTGGAAAAGAATGGTGTAATTCGATTCCAAAAGGCAATTCTATTCAATGAATTGAAAACATACAGTGATTGAGCCATTTCTTTTAAGTGAATCCAACACATACTGCTTGGTGTTATGTTGTATTTAAAGGGACAGTTCACCCCAAAAATGAAAACACTGTCATCATTTACTCTCCCTCATGTTGTTCCAAACCTCTATTTCTTCTGCTGAACAGAAAAGAAGATATTTTAAGGAATGTCTTTAACCAAACAGTTTATGGACCCCATTGACTTTCATAGTATTTAACTATGTGGCACATCAGCAAATAAATGGCACATTTAAAAAATTATTAAAAAAAAAAAACCTCTTGAAAATAAGTGCAACAATCACTTATTTATTTGAAACGATGACGTTTTAGCCATCTCAATGTTGACTTTGAGTCGAAACCTCTACAGTTAGATAAACATCATACATTTTTTTGGTTTGATTTTGGTTTCAGAGACTTTTATCCAAAGTGGCATTTCTTCATCAAAAGCACTAAAGAACAGTTATAGTAATAAAGAACTGGAATCAGAATCGATAAATTCCTTATGATTCATATATTTATGTGTTCATGTTTAACTACTGATCTCTAGCGATTCAAATCATTTGATAACAATATTCAAATATGAGCAATTAGTTAGTCATAACGATATCACTCTAATAAACAGAGGTTAACGTTTACATCAACTGAACAGACATTTATTAAATGTGCTGTAAATAATCGTTAATTAACCAAATATCTTGAGTTTAGTACTTTATTTGGGAATTTTGGTCAATTTAGATGCATTTTTAGATGCCCATTTTAAGTTGAAATGTGTTAATCGGGTTATTTCGCAATGCATGTTTTATTGTGCGTTTTGTATTTTGGCGTCTCAGCTGTCGAATACTTGCAGTAGGAGGCCAGTAGATAATGAAGATGTTTCTTGGACAGCTTGTAACTGTTTGCCACAGTGTTGAAATCCAGCCTGGAGTCCATAAATCCACATATGTCAAAGCAGAGAATGTGGAGATATCAGGCGTTGACCTCCAGACCTCGTGGATTGAGCCTTCTCCATTTCTGCACACGTGTGCACGTCATTCACATGTGCGTTGTGGTTTGTTCTCAGCTGTTGTGTGATTATAGTTTCAGCCATGACAAATAAAAGCTGAATTTCAGCCTGAAGATTATTCAGATTTGCAGTGTTTTATATACTGAATGCTGCATGTTAACCGTTATGATATATGCTGTATGTGCATGTTTTTGTTTTTTCATCAAGGCTGCGTTTATTTAATAAAAACTAAAAATTATTTTAAAAAATAAACTGTAATTTATTCCTGTGATCAAAGCTGAATTTTCAGCATCATTACTCCAGTCTTCAGTGTCACATGACCCTTCAGAAATCACTCTAATATGAGGATTTGATGATCAAGAAACATTTCCTTTAAGATTGAAAGACACAGCATTTATTTTTATTTCCTTTGTGCAAGAACTTTCCGTAAACAATTGAATCCTACAATCGAAAAAAACCCACAAAAGATTATTGTTGCTACACTTTCACTTTTGATCAATTTAATGTATCATTACTGAATAAAAGTGCTAATTTCTTTAAAAATTATAAAAATCTTACCGACTCAAACTTTTTGAATGGTAGTGTATAGATAGCTTACATAATTATATCTAAATATTTGCTAATATTATGTACATATCTAAATATTTCAGTATTTTTGGCGGGGTTTCTCTTAACCCTCTTGTTTTTTATTTCAATGAAATAAATGAACCTTATTTTAGTTTAATCTTTTTTTATTTAATATTTTGTATTTTTTATGGGATTTTCTGGTGCTATGCAATAATCAATTTGTTCACTTTTTGAACATAGACTTGAAAATTAAATATTCAACTTAAACAGTCATAAATCTTGAAAGTTTGGTCTCTTTTTAAAGTTTAAAAAGAAGTGAACCTAAAAAAATTAAAGAATGTAACATTTATAATTGTTATAAAACAAATGCTGTTTTAAATTTTTATATGAAAAATATATTTTCTAAAACTGTAAGAAAATCAATGCCACGATCTAAACAAGCAGTGTTTTAAATTTGAGGTTGATATCTCAAAAAAATGAGCTTTCAGTCAGATTGTGTTTGGCTGCAGTACCAAACGCTTCCACTAGATGTAATTTGCTTCCCATTGATTTCTAATGCAAGTAAATTTAATTTATAAAGCACATTTACACACAGCATAAAACTGACCAAAGTGTTGTACAGTGAACAAATAATACAATATTTAAAAAAAAAAAAATTTAAAACCTTTTTGTTTTGGGTGTGTTGTGTTCACCTATCAAGTGCCAAAGTGTCACACCATTCTGATGAAGTAAATAAAGAGAAAAATAAAATGTGTCCAAATTGACTGTAGATCACCAAGTGTGCATGTACTGGACTCTTTCAAGCCTCTACACTATTTTCCATCTTCCTCGTTTGACCTCTGACCTTCACTCCCTCCGCAACCGTTGTTTCCTCATTTTCTTTAGTTAATTAACCTTTTTAGCTGTAAACATTTCTCCACAAAGCAACCAGGCTGAAAAATTCCTATTCAACCGAAGCAAATGAACTACACCTTATTTAATTTTTTTTTTCTGGCTAACCAGAGAACAAAAGTTGCATACATCCAAATATGAAATCACACGGCTCACTCCCAAATAGCTTTCAAGAACTGTTGCACTCCAGTGGAATAATCCGTCCCGATATCTCATAGACGTTATTCCACTTTGGACCATCTCTCATTCACGCCCTTGAATTCCTCCGTCCGTGGCCCAAACATGGAGCGTTCGCTGATAGCGCACCTTATAAATCATCGCATTGGTTTTTCCCCTCGTCCTCGCTACGTTAGCACAGGAAGCGGAGGAAATCTGGTCCTCGTTATTTACTCTTGGCTTTGGTTATTTGATTATGGTCTGTCTGCATGTACTTCTCTCTGATTGCATGGAGAAGGACGCGCACCTCTCCGTTTTTTTTCTTCTTAAAGCCTAATGGGACTCACCTTGAGCCGAATATGCAGATGCTTCAAAGTCTGAGTGCTTGCAACATCTGGTTGTTGTATTAACGTGTCCGTTGAACTTTCAAAGGGATTTACGGCTGCTCTAGAAGTCGCCCTGTGGTGAAAAATTCTTGCCAATGGCTTTTGTTCATATGTGCCTCCCAGTGCCATAGCAACCACTAATTATAGCATTCCTTGGATTCCCTTTTAAGACGACGAGGAAGAAAATTACAGCCACCTCTTGGCCCTGTGACCCCACTGCTCACTATGTGATATAGCAATATTGGTTGCCTTCAAAGATGTCCTGCCTTATGATTTGTTATTAGTGTTGTTTGTTTAGGCAGGCTTTTGCTCATATTTAGAGTATTAAAAAGCATCCTGCATCTGTGTGTGTGCATGCTGATGCCATTTTGGTCTTCTAATATGAACATCCGTGATGGTTTTGATTCAAAGAAAAGGAGACTGCTGTGATTTCCCTACAGGAATGTGTATGTGGTCTGGAGATCGCTCTGTTCAAACACTGTCATGAAAAAACATGTCTCTCCACGCAGGTAGTTTTAATCCACTGTTTGGCTCTTAAATCTAATTGATTTATGCTTTTTTTTTTACTTGTGTCTTTCAGCCCTCCGAGGCCTTTTCGTTTTCCCAAAAGGTAAGCTCACTGTTGAACTCGATTTCTTTTTTTTATGAGATTTTGCAAAATTTTGACATTATTAACATTATTAGTTATTTTAAATTATTTAATTTTATTATTTTGTTTTGCATGTATTTAAGTGGTAATGTATGGAAGTTTGTTTCCACCATTGGATAAAACATTTAAAAGGTAATTGCGACTTTTTATTTCACAATTCTGACTTTTTTTCTCACAATTGAGTTTACATCTCGTCATTCTGATTTTTTTATTCTTCAGAATTGGGCTTTATGAATCGCAGAATTAAAAATGTCAGAATTATGATATATAAAACCCAATTTTGAGAAAAAAAGTCAGAATTGCGTGAAAAGTCAGTATTGTGATATATAAACACGCAATTGCCAGAAAAAAGTCAGAATTGCGGGAAAAAAGTCAGTATTGTGAGAAAAAAACTCAGTATTGTGATATATAAACATGCAATTGCCAGAAAAATTTCAGAATTGACAGAAAAAGTCAAAATTGCAGGAAAAAAGTCAGAATTGCGAGATATGAACACCAAATTGCCAGAAAAAAGTCATAATTGTTGGAGATAAAGCCCAATTTTGAGAAAAAAGTCAGAATTGCCAGAAAAAAGTGAGAGTTGCAAGATATAAATTCACATTTGCAAGAAAAAGTCAGAATTGCCAGAAAAAGTCAAAATTGCGTGAAAAAAGTCAGTATTGTGAGAAAAAATAATCAGTATTGTGATATATAAACACGCAATTGCCAGAAAAATTTCAGAATTGACAGAAAAAAAGTCATAATTGCAGGAAAAAAGTCAGAATTGTAAGAGATAAAGCCCAGTTTTGAGAAAAAGTCAGAATTGCGGGAAAAAAGTCAGTATTGTGTGAGAGAAACTCACAATTGCCAGAAAAAGTCAGTATTGCGAGAGATATAAACACGCAATCGCCAGAAAAAAGTTAGAATTGCGAGACATAAACACACGATTGTTAATTTATATTCTGTAATTCCGACTTTATAACCTCACTGTTCTGAGTTAATAGCCTCACAATTCTGAGAAAAGTTTGAATTGTGAGATAAAAAGTCGCAATTATCTTTTAAATCGTTTTTTTTTTTTTCCGTGGCGCAAACAGGCTTCCATAGTAATGTGCATTAAATGCTTGATGAATGAATCTTTCTCAATTGCAGTTATGCAGAGCTCATTGCTGATTGGCCGGTGGTGGTGTTGGGGGTGTGTACCGTTCTCATCGTGGTGTGTGCTCTGGTCGGGATTCTCGTGCCTGACCTGCCTGACTTCTCAAATCCACTGCAGGTGAGCGTGAGGAACATTGGGAATGAAATGTTTTGGTTTTGTTCTTAAATAGTTTTTCGAGGGCCAAAATCAGGACACATTTACGTTACATGGTTCAAGTGACCCAATTCTGATCGGACATGACCCACGAATGTGTACGCAGGAAAAATCCACACATATCTTGATATTTTTAGATCGGTTTCAGGCCTCATTCATATGTGTAATAGAAAGGATATAAGTGGACAGATCGGATATTCCCATCATTGAAAAAGCGACGATGAGGAATGACATCAGCTCTTGTTTACTCCGCCTTAAGAGACCAATGTTTTGACCTTTAAAGATTGTGCGTCCATTTCAAATTGTTTTTACTTCCTTTTTGGCTGCAGTTTTTCCCGGTTCAGTACGTCTACCTTGGCTTGTCGGATAATGGGGCACTTTTAAAAGATGATGTAAGCTGGTCGTGAAATCTGATATAGTCAACAAATCAAAATTGGGCGTAATTAGCTCTTCTCTAATGGATGTTTTGACTGTTCAGCATCTATTTTGTGTATCTAGTTTAACACCAATTAAACTTGTCAGCTGTGTAGACACAAGCTCTGGATCGACAAAATCAATTTCTAGATTTTAATCAGCATTTATATGCTTTTCTAAAAATCCCCCTGTAGTCAAAAAAAAATTATTTGATCACCAAAATGTCATATTTTTGTAACTTTTATTTGATGAACTGTTAATTGACATCCCTGCTCTTATTGTTGTTATTAATCCCTACATGGATCAAATCCTGATGGAAAAATGTCTACAGAAGAACGGCAGTCTGAGTGAAGATTTGTTGTCATTTGTCTTATTAGGGATTTGAACCGAGGGGCACTGCAATAGGCCAGCGACTTGTAACATGGAACAACATGGTGAAAAACACGGGATACAAGGCGACGCTGGCCAACTACCCCTTCAAATACGCAGATGAGCAGGCCAAAAGGTAACAGAGTCCACTTCTTTCTTATCCGATAACCATATTTTCCTTCGTATTCGTCAGATTCATGATGTGAGGATTAGAACTCAGACTAGGATTGGTTGAAATAGTTACTGGATTGCAGTGTCTACAGGATTTTGGTTTTGTAGTAATGGCCTTTATTTATGTTTAATTGGAAATATACATCTTTAAGGAGTAGTTCACTTTTAAAAAAGCTTGCTGATAATTAATTTACTCACCCCCATGTCATCCAAGATGTCCTTATCTTTCTTTCTTCAGTCGAAAATAAATTAAGGTTTTTGATGAAAACATTCCAAGATTTTCTCCATATAATGGACTTCAATGGGGACCAAACGGTTCAAGGTCCAAATGAGAGTTTCAGTGCAGCTTCAAAGGGTTTTGAACGACACCAGACGATGAATAAGGGTCTTATCTAGCGAAACGATCGCTCATTTAAAAAAAGAACGAATCTTTTCGTTCATGGAATCAACCAAATGACTCGAAAAAAGATTCGTTCATTTTGATGAACGAGTTCGAACAGGAGAGTCACGAACGCGCATCTCAGAACAGAGGCGACCATTTGTCCTTATAAAACTTAAATGTTTTTTATTTATTGTTTTTGAAATGACCAATTGTTTCACGTGATAAGACCCTTATTCATCATCTGGTGTCGTTTAAAGCTCTTTGAAGCTGCACTGAAACTCTCATTTGGACCTTGAACCGTTTGGACCCCATTGAAGTCCATTATATGGAGAAAATCCTGGAATGTTTTCATCAAAAACCTTCATTTCTTTTCGACTGAAGAAAGAAAAACGTGGACATCTCGGATGACATGGGGGTGAGAAAATTATCAGCATATGTTTTTTTTAAAGTGAAATACTCCTTCAAATGCATAAAATTCTGCACACCAGCGTACTTATTTTATGTTTCGGTGAAATCTAATACATTGACAAGCCGTCCAAGTGACTAATGGAAATACTGGAAAACTTTTTTGCTCCTGAATAGCAGTTCTTGGTAATGAGATGTGTGTTGGCTCATCTGATCCGGATCATTGTAAGTTGGATTAGAGATCATGACAGAAGCGAGTGTGTGTATGGCACGGCTCCGTCTCAGCGTGTGTGTATTAGGCGTCTTCCCTCTGATTAAAGAGACTTCCTGTCTGTGGAACAGGATGTGCTGTCAGAAACAGTCCTGCCCTCTGTCAGTAATAATGATAACGGGCATTTCAATCGCAGATCTCTAATGGCAACAACATGAAGAGGGTTTCCTGTGGCCGAAATTATTCTGGAATTAATAATTAGCGAGGATTTTCGGTTCCACTTTATTTTGATAGACATTCTACTTGAAAGTTACCCAAATAAAACCTCAACTCCCTGTCACACGAAACCATAATCTAGCGGTTCTTAACTTGCGATCTGATTCTTGTCAGATTTAGACAGCTTTAATGAATGAAAAATCATAACACTTTATTTTAATAGTCCACTTTAGATATTCTGCTAACTATAAGTAACTTTGCAACTGCATGTCAGCTAACGCTCAGAGTATTAGTAGACTGTTAGGTTAGGGTTAGAGTTCGGGTTAGTGGAATAAAGCATGCTGTTATGGGGTTAGAATTGTTGCATTATTCCAAATTAATAGATTGAGATTCACAAATAAATATCAAGAGATTCAAAAAAAAAATATATAAAAGTCACAATTAAATAAAATGATTTTTATTTTTTGCAAATGTGTTTTATGTCACAAACACAACTCTGCTTGGCATTTATTTGTGAACCACTTTCTGTGCGCTTGTAAATCGCTGCACACGTTTGTGAATCTCTTCCTGTGCATTTGTAGTGCAGACAAATTCACAAATAAGTGGACTCCACCCCCCGTTTCCTCGAGCCAATCAGATAACGGCCACATTGAGCTGACCAATCATAGCATGTTTTCGCTACAACCAATCAAATGAAAGTTTGTGTTTCAAAATCCACAAATAAAACCCATTTGTGAAAAATATATATATATATATTTGCAAATCTTATTTAATTTATTTGTGAATTTATATTTTTTGTGGAACTTTTTACATTTATTTGTGGATCTTAATCTATATGTGAATTTGATACATTTTTGTGAATCTCTCTACATTTATTTGTGAATCTCAATCTATTTATTTGGAATAATGCAACAATTCTAACTCCATATGTACTTGTAAAGTTACTTATAGTTAGTAGAACATCTAAACTGGACTATTAAAATAAAGTGTTATGATTTTTCTTTCATTAAAGCTGTCTAAATCTGACAAGAATCAGATCGAACCATATTTTGAAATGCATTGATTTAAGTTGCAAATACTCTCCTTTTCTGTGTTTTAGTCACCAAGATGACAGGTGGCCCAAGGATCACTATGATAGAAAAAAAAGACAAGCGGAGTGGGATTTCAGTAAAGACAGTTTCTTCTGTGATGTACCAGGTGAGTTTTTACATTCACTCTTATAATAATAGAAATTACCACACTCCAAAACCATTGGTTCGGTTTTCCAAAATACAATAAAATCAGTATTTCAGATTGTAAAATGTTACAATTTAAAGATATTACTATTATTTTCTATTTTATTTATTTATTTTGAACACATTTTCAAATGTAATTTATTCCAGCATCATTACTCCAGTCTTCAGTGTCCCATGATCCTTCAGAAATCAGTCTAATATGCTGATTTGCCGCTGACAAATGTATTTTGGAGGCAATATACGGCAAAAATGAAGCACAGATCTATGAAATACGCTATTGGAGATGTGGTGACATGTATCAAATCTGCCACCTAGTGGACCAATGAGAGGTTTTTCTTAGTTTTAAGGGTCATGAAACCCCAAAACACATAGGGTTATATCTTTAAAATGCATCAAGATGCCCTGAAATCATTTTTTTTTCTCCTCCGTGGTCATATTTTAATATTCATCTCTGTATAATGTGTTTTATTGGTTGTTTTCTCCCCTTTTCCACCTTCTACTCTCCCACTTTTCCAATTTTTTTAGTCTTTTTCCAACTCAGCCAGACTAAAACAGGTTGGGTTTGACACTCAAATGTTGTCTCTCTACAGGTGACAGCTATTCCCGAATCGTATTTGCCTCTGCAGAGGGAAAGAACTTGTGGAATATACAGGCAATAAAGTCCATGTGCAATTTTGACAATACACGGGTATGTAGCATTGCATTGCATCTATTGGTTATACCATTTGCAGATGCATGATGTCGGAAATGTGTTTTATATTAGTGTTTTTCATGTCTGATTCTTCAGGTTCGCTCCCATCCCCAGTACTTGGATCTGTGTCAGCGCACAACTGCTGCCTCCTGCTGTCCCAGCTGGACTCTTGGGAACTACATAGCCGTGCTTACCAACAAATCCTCCTGCCAAATGATTACTGAGCGAGATGTTTCCCACACCCTAAAAATCCTGCGCTCCTGTGCAAAGTATTACCACAACGGCACCCTTGGTCCTGAGTGTTGGGACATGACCACCCGTAAGAAGGACCTCAAGTGTGGCAACGTGCCGCGAAAGTGTACAAAATACAACGCCGTCTATCAGATGTTTCACTTTTTGGTGGATAAAGACTTTCTGAACCCAAAGAACACCGAATACCTTCCACCTAACCTCAAGTATAGCATGCTCTTCGCTCCCACGGAGAAAGGAGAAACGATGATGAACATTTACTTGGACAACTTTGAGAACTGGAACTCCTCGGATGGGATCACGACCATCACAGGAATCGAATTTGGCATTAAACACAACTTGTTTCAGGACTACCTGCTAACAGATACCATGTATCCCGCAATAGCCATTGTGATTGTGCTGGTGGTTATGTGCGTCTACACAAAATCAATGTTCATCACCCTCATGACCATGTTTGCCATCATTAGTTCTCTGATTGTCTCGTATTTCTTATACCGTGTGGTCTTCAACTTTGACTTCTTCCCCTTCATGAACCTCACCGCGCTCATCATATTGGTGGGAATTGGTGCAGACGATGCCTTCGTCCTCTGTGACGTCTGGAACTACACAAAGTTTGACAAACCCAATTCTGAGCTCTCTGAAGCGGTTGGCGTCACGCTTCAACACGCGGCACTCTCAATGTTTGTCACCAGTTTCACCACAGCCGCTGCCTTTTACGCCAATTACGTGAGCAACATCACTGCGATCAGATGTTTCGGTGTATACGCTGGTACTGCCATCCTGGTGAACTATATACTGATGGTCACCTGGTTGCCAGCTGTGGTGGTCCTACACGAGCGCTACCTGGTCAATGTCTTTACATGCTCTCGGTCACAACACCGCCAGACGTTTTGGACAGGCCTTTGCCAAATGGTCAACAAGTGTCTTTTTAGCATCTCTGAGGCCTCGCGGATTTTCTTTGAGAAGGTTTTGCCTTGCATCGTGATCAAGTTGCGCTACTTGTGGCTCTTGTGGTTCCTGGGTTTGACGGTGGGCGGCGCCTACGTTGTTTGCGTGAATCCCAAGATGAAACTGCCTTCCCTGGAGCTGTCGGAGTTCCAGGTGTTTCGTTCCTCCCATCCCTTTGAACGCTACGATGCGGAGTACAAAAAACTCTTTATGTTTGAACGGGTCAACCATGGGGAAGACCTACACATGCCGATCACCATAATTTGGGGTGTTACTCCAGTTGACAGTGGAGATCCCCTGAACCCCAAAAACAAGGGTAAACTAACTCTTGACACAACCTTCAATATTGCGAGTCCTGGAAGTCAGGTTTGGATTCTCAATTTCTGCCAGAAGCTCAGGAACCAAAGCTTTGTGTTCCAGTCGGAGGAGCAAGACTTCACCAGCTGTTTCATGGAGACTTTCAAGCAGTGGATGGAAAACCAAGACTGTGAGGAAGCATCCGTCTATCCCTGCTGTAGCCAGTCCACGTTCCCTTACCGGCAAGACGTCTTTGAGTTGTGCATCAAACGAGCCATCATGGAGCTTGACCGAAGCACCATCTACCACCTCGACAGCAAGACCCCAGGCCCAAGGTTTGACATCAATGACACCATTCGAGCAATTGTCCTCGAGTTTCAAAGCACCTACCATTTCACTCTGGCGTACGAGAAGATGCATCAGTTTTACAGAGAGGTTGATGCTTGGATTGAAGAGGAGCTGAGGGATGCTCCTGAGGGACTGAACTACGGATGGTTTGTGAGCAACTTGGAGTTCTACGACCTACAGGACAGCCTTTCGGATGGCACTCTCATCGCTATGGCGTTATCGGTGGTGGTGGCCTTCAGTGTTATGCTCCTGACCACCTGGAATATCATCATCAGCCTCTACGCCATCATATCCATCGCAGGAACCATATTTGTAACAGTTGGGTCGTTGGTGCTCTTGGGTTGGGAACTAAACGTGCTTGAATCAGTGACGATCTCAGTTGCTGTTGGTCTCTCGGTGGACTTTGCTGTTCATTACGGCGTGGCATACCGTCTTGCCCCGGAACCAGACAGGGAAGGAAAGGTGATTTTCTCCTTGAGCAGAATGGGCTCGGCTATAGCTATGGCGGCACTCACGACATTTGTAGCCGGTGCAATGATGATGCCATCCACAGTTCTGGCCTACACCCAACTGGGCACGTTTTTGATGCTAATCATGTGCATTAGTTGGGCCTTTGCTACGTTTTTCTTTCAATGCATGTGTCGCTGCCTTGGTCCTCAGGGCACCTGTGGACAGATTCCTTTGCCAAAGAAACTCCAGTGCTACTCCTTCACGGAGCACACGCCTGAAAGCCAGTCTAATCCAAGCCAAGGTAAACTTGGTGCTTGCTACACGACCAAGTACCAAATAGATAACTCACGAAGTGAGGGTCGACATGAACACTACGAGCTTGAGCCCTTGGCGCTGAATGTCAGAAATGAGGAAAAGGCTTCCGACGAGGAGCAGGAAGCATGTACGCAGTTGCACAATGGCATCACTTCTCATCACTCACCAAAAAGCAATACCGACTCAAGAGAACCCAATCCTGAGCTTGAAAATGTCTCTGAACTTTCTCAGTATGCTTACAGTACAAGGTGCACCTGTGAGAACTCAATGCATCAATATATGGAGCGACAGAGGACTCCTTATCATCCTTGCAGCCAGTCCCGAGAGACCCAATGCTCCGCTAATCAGACCAATCGCTTACCTGTGGGTCAGAACTTTCAGTCCTCATGGGATACGACGCACGCTCCCACTAATTGTGGCCACTTTTGCTCTCAGAGCCAAACATCAAGACCAGTCCCTCACAGATGTTTCCCTGGAGGCTACAGCATGCAAACAGTCCATCTTTTGCATCAGGCACTGTTGTCCGATACTGCCGTGCACGACGAGTCTCACATCAGTGCATGTGGCCCCAATTCGCCTCTACCAGAGAACCAGAACTTTCCAGCTCACATTCACTTTCCAGATGTTCAGCGATGCTCTTTGCCCGACACAACTGTTAATCATGATACTCAGAAGACAGGAGACCTAGGATTAAATTCCCAGACCCCATTGAACCATGTAAAAACAAAAGTAAATGGCACTTGTGTTTTAATACAGGACAGTCGTGAGATTCGCGAAGCGATTCCAGTGGTACCGGAAGAAAGTGTCAAATTCAATCAAGGTAACGAAGACAATAATAAAAGGGCAGAGCCTTTCTCTCCCAAAAGAAACTGTTTTAAAAAGACTGTAAAAGTGAAGTGCAATTCTGCAGAGTTTCACAAGCCAAAAACCAGCGTGCCTACTATTGCCATTAATTCGAAAGAGTCCGAGAGTTTATGCTAACGTGTAAAGACTGCGATATCAAAGCATATTGCTAAGATTTAGCACAGAAAAGCAACTAGGAGAGCGTTCCTTGTGAATGCTGACACGACGTTCAAGGAAAACATTTATATTTGAGAACAAGTCTTATTTAAGAAGACACTATTTTAACCCACTGGCTGGTTTTTGTGTGACCTCTCATATTTTTTTAATATCTGGCTACAGGCCATCACTTTTTCATGAGATCAAAAAAAAAACTTATTCAGAATTTATTTTCCTGCACATTTCATATGAACTTGTATATATATATTTTGTGTGTGTTGTGTATGTATTTGAGTCATGCACTTTTTTTTTGTTGTTGATTTGATTGTTTCGCCTGTAAAGTAAACTTCAGTAGCTTATGTGCTGGTGAATTGAAAGAGTGATTGTGCTTTCTTTCAAATTTGTCGTTTCTTCCTAGTTTATTCGATAAAAATGCCCCCTTCAGCAGTGTGCAAACATTTACATTAGCCTCAGGACTTCAGGATAATTTAGTCAGGTTATGACTTTACACTGAAGAATGTTTTGTGAAATATACTAAGTGTGAATTTAAGTGTACACGTCATATATGGTATGTCTCACCCAAACATTTATTTATTAGTTAGGGAGTTTTTTTGTTTGTTTGTTTTGTTAAAGAAAGATAATCACCAATTTTACATTATTATTTATTTTCTATACAATTGGTTTTGCTAATTTAATATTGGGTCTACAAAGAAAGGCTGCGATAATAGTAGCAATAATAATTCAAATGTACAATACAGTTGTAAAGTATATATTTTATGTGAACGTGTCACCCGAAATGTGCTTTTTTTTTGGAGTAACCATCAGGTTTATTTAAATAAACTAAAATCAAGTCACGTTTTAACAAGTGGTGTCACACAGATATTTGGACGCTTGGTACAAATTATAAGACTCAGTTTATTTGCCAAATCCTGGAACACTATAAAAAAAAAAAAGGTGTTGCTGTCAATCGAGAATTTACATAATAGCTAAAAAGAACATACACATTATGGATTATACAAAAGTCGTTGTCCAAAAGAGAGAAGGTCAAAACCGTAGGATGGATGGATGGAGCAAAACAAGGTATATACCATAAACATTTGTGCAAGAATCATACACGAGTCCTTCATAGTTACACTGCAGTGTCTGCAAGAACGTTTGCTTCTTCAAGATGTTTTTCAACCTCATTGACTTTAGTATTTGTTTGTGTTAACTTGGTGTTTTTTCTAATTTTATGCAGAAGTTGGTCATAAAACCACTCCAAGTCCTGGATGTCATCGGGCCACAGAAGGTATCTTCTGTTCTCAATGTAGGATCTCACTTGTTCGTACTTCATTAACCTGTACTGCGGTATGTTCCCTACAACCAGCACCACCAGAATGTCCTTTAGCTCCAATAGCATCCTGCACTGTGCCAGGGTGAAGGTTTCTAGGCACCAGCCGTCCTTCAGGAAACGTTCAGACACCACACAAAGGGTTTTTTCGACTATTCTGGATTGCATTTCGCATGTTGGTAAGATGGTCCTCCCCGGGTATGAAGTCTCGCTCCTCGAAGCAGCAGCGGAGTGTGTTCTGCTCTGAGAACTGAGAGTCAAGCCTGTTCAGCAGCGCTCTTTCTACCCACTTCATATCACTGGAACTAAAACAAAGATACACGTCGTACAAGAATTGTTCAGGATCAGGTTCCTCTCGCTTTCCATCCACAAGTTTGCCAGTGAGCTTTTTGTAAAACTTGAAGATGTAGCCACGTCCATGGACATAAATGATGGCGCTAGCAGTGAGTAATATGACAAGTGCGGAACAGAAAATAAAAAGTACAAGTCTCAGTTTTTCAGATCGCCTCTCGTCCTCTTCATCCTCGCAGTGTATGTTGGATCTCACAACCGGAACCATGTACTGATCCTCAGGACTGGCACATGTCACATCCTCAATGGGGTGAAAAATGGTTACGTTGGTTTGATTGAGCCATGTTTGGAAATCCCTTAGCTTGCAATCGCAACGGAAATCGTTTTTGATCAGGCTGATGTAGTGGAGGCTGCTGAAGAGATTTGGATCTACTGAATAAATAGAATTATATTCAAGATTAAGTATTCGAAGACTTTCAGGGAATACATCGTTTGGAAGGTACTTCAAAGAGTTGAAGGACAAATCCAATAAGAACAAAGAGGTAAGGTCTTTGAAAATGTCTTGGGGAAGTGACTGTAGCAGGTTGGAACTCAGAAAAAGCTGTTCTAACTGGTGAAGATCGTTAAACACATTTAAACATTTTCCTTCTGACCAGATAACTTCCAAACCTGCAAATGCAAGATCAAGGATTTGCACTTTTTGTGAAAGCACGTTGTGTCCGTCATTAGGGCAATAAACAAGCTCGTTACCTCGAAAAACAATTTCCACAATTTGAGGAAATTCCTCTAGAATTGTGTAGAGTACAGACATGGAAGAAAACTTGTTAAATTGCAGGTAAAGGGTTGTTAGATTTTTAGAAATGTGGGGTAAACTATACACGGATGTAATTTTGTTGTCACCCAAGTAGAGTTTCTCCAGGTTTGGTAAGGTTGCAAATCTATGTACTGCTTTGAGAGCATTTCCTGTTAAGTTCAGGTTTAGTAGGTTTGGAAGCCCTAGAAATGACTGAAATCCAAGGATCCATATATGATTATAAGACAAATCAAGCACCTCAAGCTTCTCTAGGTTCTGAAATGTATTGGCATCAATATTACCAAGGAAGTTTTTGGACAGGTTTAGCTTCAGTAAATTTGTCATACCCCAAAAAGCACGGTTTTCAATCTTATTGATATGACTTTCTGCCATTGTAATTTGTTCTAGACTTGACAAATAACTAAATACTGAATTTGACAGAGCAAAAATGCTTGAATTGGTGAGGTCGAAAATCTTAATACCACTCGCCTCAAGACCCTTGAATGTAAATTTGTCTGGATCTTTTGAATTATTACCAGAAGATTTGCCCATGCTGTAACTGTTACTGAGAATGAGACTTTGGATTTTGGTACCAGTGATTGCATTAAAAAAACGCTTTGCCATGTTAACGTTAAAGCCGTTTCCAGACAGGTCCAATGAGGTCATGGACATGTTCTTAAATGGCTTTCCACACTTGTCCCATCCTAACCAGTACTCGTTCATGTCTTGCAGAGTCACGGAGGACAGTTTCAGAAGAGTGAAATGTTTACCCTGAAAGCCGAGGAGCTCTTCTTCACAGATGCTCTTCAGTTTGTTGCGAGAGAGATCGAGCCAATGTAATCTCCTCATGTTTAAAAAGAATGACGCCGGCTGGATTCTTTGAATGTTGTTCTCCCGCAAGTCAAGCATCTCCAGAGACACCAGAGGTTTGAGGAAGTCACCAGACAAAATAGCTTCATTTAAACTGCACTGAGTGAGAGTGAGATTTTTAAGGTTGAATAATCCATTAAACGCTCCTGTATCCATTTTCAGGAAGCGGTTGTAGTCTAGCCGAAGTGATGTTAAATTAGCTAGTGTTATGAATGTATTGTTTCTGATCACAAGTCCTGGTTTTTGGTGCATCAGTATAAGGGCTTGTAGTCCATCCAGAAGAGAAAAGGATGTTTCGTTGAGTTCAGCAATACTGTTGTTACTCAGATCTACTTTATTTACATGTGTGGAAAGCTTTGGCACCTCTTGAAGACCTTTATCGATGCAGAAGGCGACAGAGGCGGCAATTGAACACACTGAGGTGCATTTCACAATTTGAGTGCTGATGCATAATCCAAGGAGGATCAGAGATAATCTGTGTTTTGCCATTCTGAGATCCCTGTAGAAAACAAGTTACAAAAGTTACCCAAACATTTGTTTACTTTTGATCATTTACTCTAAGATACTCCATACAGCAGCATACAGGTTTGGTACAACACAAGAATAGTTATGGAAACATTTTCAGTAACACTTTACTTAAAGCCTTTATGAATTGTGCACTATGAAAAAAAAAAAAAAGATTATTTATGCCTCGTAATGCATGTCATAATGCATAGTGGTTTCATGCATAATTATTGCCACACATGTATAATACATTTCTTATATTATTTATTCGCCTGTAGAAGGTTATCATGCATTAAAACATGTCAAATAACCAATTTCAGATGTAACAATCAATCTGCAAATATTATAATGCATTTTAACTTTGGTTACAATGGTTTATGAAACGTTATAAAGTATGCAATACATAAAGGCTTTCAGTAAAGTGTTACCAAATTGTCATTGTTGGGTAAAGTATCCCTTCCGAAAATGACTACATAATAATAATAATAATAATACAACCTATAGTTAAACCATGACATTCACAAAATAACAATGGCTTTTTTTTTCTAACCTAAACACTGACCATAGTTTTGCCATGGTATAGTATTATACAAATGGTAAAAAAGCTTGAGTTTCTAAATCCAGTGTGGTAAGTAAACACGGGTTTCTGAATATGAAATGCAAATCTTATATGTAGACTAGTTCAGACTAAAACTACTGGATAAGGCATAAACAAGTCAGGACAGCCACGTCAGTAGAACTAGTTTATCTTAGGCTACTAATAGTTTTAGTTCAAGGTTCAATGACTTACGAGAAAAACACCACAAAGTAGATTTAAATGTGGTATTCATTTTATGATACAACCATATATCGAGATTTGCAACAAAAGTCATGGATAATAATAACTGATAGATTGAGTTTACCTGTTCGACCACAGTTTCTGAAGTCATTTGAAGGTAAAGTTTCAAACGTTCCTTACGGTGATAACGCGGAGTTGAGCTGCCCTCTCTCTTCCTTCGTTTCATTGTGTTTCCCAATGTTTCTGAAATAGGAAACGACTTTCTGACCCTGCAGTGACTCGTTTTCCGGTGAAGAGTCCTTCAGTGAGAGAACAGAAACTCTGTAGATTCAGCACAGCAACGTAGTTTCATTAGCCTTTCCTCCCCACAAAATGTGAAGTATTCCTCCGCCAGCTCTGTGCTATGTAAGTGTGTTCAGTCTTGACAGTCTTAGCCTAACTTACTATGGTAAGATCAGACTTTAAGCAGCAGTACATAGGGGCCGTCATTATTTATACAATTATGTTTTATGTATTAAAGAAACAGATCTAGAACAGCGACTGATGCAGTCATATTTCGTAGCTATTTTAATACGCCTGTGAACTGTTCCACTGTTAATATAGGATACTGACAGTGACTAAATTAAACATAGTGGAGTTCATCATATAAATTATTTAATTTAGATCCACGTTTTTAATCTAATAATTAAATCGATTTAGACTATGCTTTAAAAAAAACTGCCGCTGGAAAGAACAAAAAAGCGCGGGCGCAAACAATTCAAAAAGTAACGGTCGTGGAGAACAACAGACACTTTATTCTCCGGGCGATTTCTTTAATTTCCAAATCTCTTGTTTATGTGGTTTATCAGATTTAAAAAAAAAACCTGGTAGGCACATCACATTGTTAGATAAGTCTAGCTGTTTTTCTTTATTGGAAGACTGAATCTGGCCCCTGCAAACGCTTAAAGGTAAGACAAGACTAGCATTGTTAAGATTCGTTAAAGTGATTTGTGCACTGAAACAAATATATTTGGCTGTATATGAAAGCTATAAAGTTATTTTAATGTCAGGTTACATAAGGGGCCACCTGAAGGTAGTTAATTTATTTTCAGAAAACTTATTGGAGAAAGTTGTATTTCTCTTTTATATTAATTAAATTGTGTCACAAAGGTTCTAGAAACTGTAACTTATATATTTATCGTTTTATAATTTATTAAAATATTTGATGTATTTATATGATGGCCTATATTTTTATTTTTTGCAAATGTCCGTCACATGTAGTTGCCTAATACACGCAAGGTGGAGAGATAACAAAGAGTCTTTTTAATGAAAAAAAGAAAAGTGTGTGTAATAGTCGAAACTAGTCCGAGACATTAACACAAACAATACCAGACAGTTAACTAACTCAAACTGAAGGATTAATACACAACAAACCAAAGCGCTAACAAGATCATGAGAACACAGGTGAATGGGTGATTAATCAAAAAAAGTGATCCGGGTCAAATGAAAGGCACAGGAAAAACATGTCTGTCAATCAGAAACAAAACAGAGCTCTTTTCAATATAGAAATCTATGTTAGCTAAAAACCTGGCCATGTTAAAAGTATTATGTTAATTTTGCATAATATATGACCATAATTAATGTACTTGTGTGTTTGCATATTAGAATTCGAATAATGAGCGGTCATTTATGTAACAGCAAAATTAAATTGTGTACATTAGTCATTAAATCACTGTTATGTAAAACGCTGCATCCAATTTAATAAAGTTTTATTTATAAATTGTTTCATAAATGACTATAATGTGAGGGGGGAAAAAGAATGAGTTTTTAGATATTAATTTACTTCTAAGTCATGGTCTTTCATGTTTAGTTATCAAAAACAGAAGAATTACCATTCAACACCATGGTGTAAGATGGGAGTTAAAACAAAAAGTAACTCTCAAAGCCAAAACAATGAAAGTAAGAGGGTTTTCGATTGCACAATGCCTGACATGGGGATGTTTTTAAAAGCAACTTCCTGCATGTGCCTAAAGAAAGATACGAGGCTTTCAGTCTGATGTCACAATTGTGTGAAATAAATGAAATATGAATTCAAAACAGTTAGTGGGTGACAATTAGATTTTATTTATTTATTTCTGGGAACAGGAAATGAATTTGAAGGCTATTCTATGGTCAGCTGTTTACACAAGGCACTGAGAGATTGCTTTCTGTGTAAAGCAGAACGGTAATATAAGTTTTGCAATGTTGTCTTCTTTTTCAAAGTGCCTTAATACAATGAAGGGATCATAACAGGAAATTTGGCCAGATGGCATTCTGAGGTCAACTAAAGATATAATATTATCAATTTTTGACCACAGAATAGTTGACAACCATGGTGAGATTTCAATTCAATATTTACTTAATCAGACATGTGACCCGGGTTGTGCTGTGGGGCCTTGTTGTACTATACTATTTCCTGTTCAAAGTACACAGGCCATGACCAAATGTGTCAATACTGAGGTTTCTTTACAAATTACATTTACAATGTACAAACTGAGATTGCTCAAAAACACAAGGCCAGATTGTGTCATCATGTTTTTTCACTACTGGCTTCCTAGTTTCGCCATTTTGCCTGTAGGACATAACGTCCAAGTACACTGAGTGTCTTTTTATTCAGTTACCATTTTTAGGTTGTACATTTATTTACAGACTAAGCAGGAATTTGCTTAATTTCTTCATTTCTAAGTCATATATCATTATGAATTTGCAAGCTCCATTTGGAAGTGGTTGAAGATGTTTAGGCTTTGCAAATTTAGTGCACACATTCTGCTATAATTAGCATTTCAGACATTTAATGAAAATAGCAGCAGGTTCACAGACAATATTTTATATCAGCTATTTTGTGAGAGAATAGAAATAGAATGTAATGAATTAAATATTCCTTCATTATAAATCACACACACACATATGTATACACATAGAAGACACAAGATGCATTCTAATTACTAATTTGTCTTTTAGGGACACATTGGTGTCTCACAGTGGATTTGAACCCGGGTCTCTCACACCAAAGGCATGTGTCTTATCCTCTGTGCCATTACCACCCCATGATTGGAAACCATAGGTGATCAGGTAAGGTTTTACAAAATGCATACAATAATTATACTGCGGTGTTTGCATGGACATTCAATGCTTCAGGCTTTGTTTGGTTGGTTGGTTGATTTGTTTGATTAACCTTGGTATCTTTTCTTATTTCATGCAGAAGTTGGTCATAAAACCACTCCAAGTCCTGGATGTCATCGGGCCACTGAAGGTATTTTCTGTTCTCAATGTAGGATCTCACTTGTTTGAACTTCATTAACCTGTACTGCGGTATGTTCCCTACAACCAGCACCACCAGAATGTCCTTTAGCTCCACTTCCATCAATCTTTGTGCCAGGGTGAAGGTTTCTAGGCACCAGCCGTCCTTCAAAAAATGTTCAGACACCACACAAAGGGTTTTTCGACTATTCTGGATTGCATTTCGCATGTTGGTAAGATGGTCCTCCCCGGGTATGAAGTCTCGCTCCTCGAAGCAGCAGCGGAGTGTGTTCTGCTCTGAGAACTGAGAGTCAAGCCTGTTCAGCAGCGCTCTTTCTACCCACCTCATATCACTGGAACTAAAACAAAGATACACGTCGTACAAGAATTGTTCAGGATCAGGTTCCTCTCGCTTTCCATCCACAAGTTTGCCAGTGAGCTTTTTGTAAAACTTAAAGATGTAGCCACGCCGACGGACATAAATGATGGCGCTAGCAGTGAGTAATATGACAAGTGTGAAACAGAAAATAAAAAGTACAAGTCTCAGTTTTTCAGATCGCCTCTCGTCCTCTTCATCCTCGCAGTGTATGTTGGATCTCACAACCGGAACCATGTACTGATCCTCAGGACTGGCACATGTCACATCCTCAATGGGGTGAAAAATGGTTACGTTGGTTTGATTGAGCCATGTTTGGAAATCCCTTAGCTTGCAATCGCAACGGAAATCGTTTTTGATCAGGCTGATGTAGTGGAGGCTGCTAAAGAGATTTGGATCTACTGAATAAATAGAATTATATTCAAGATTAAGTATTCGAAGACTTTCAGGAAATACACCGTTTGGAAGGTACTTCAAAGAGTTGAAGGACAAATCCAAAAAAAACAAAGAAGTCAGATCTTTGAAAATGTCTTGGGGAAGTGACTGTAGTCCATTGGCAGTCAAAGAAAGCTGCTCCAACTGGTGAAGATTGTTAAACACATTTAAACATTTTCCTTCTGACCAGATCAGCTGCATCGTTGAAAGTCCAAGATGAAGAAGTTGTAGTTTGTCTGAAGCCACTATTAGTCTTTGATTATAACAACTCGAAAACTTGTTACCTTGAAGAAAGATTTGTTCTATTAGTGGAAATTCCCATAGTATTGTGTACACATCTGACAAGTCCTTTAATCTGTTAAATTCCAGGTCAAGGGTTGTGAGGTTTTTAGCAATGTTGGGTAAACCAGACAAAGATGAAATTCTGTTCTCACCTAAATAGAGTATCTTCAGGTTTAGTAGGGTTGCAAATTCATCAACTGATTCAAGTGCATTTCCTGTTAAATTTAAGATGATTAAATTTGGGAGACCCTGAAATGATTTATCTCCAAGAACCCTGATATGGTTATAAGACAAATCAAGCACCTCAAGTTTCTCTAGATTCTGAAATGTATTGGAATCAATACTACTCAAAAAGTTTTTGGACAGGTTTAGCTTTAGTAAATTCGTCATACCCAAAAACGCATCAGTTTCAATAATGTTAATCTCGTTTTGTGCCAATGTAATTTGTTCTAGTTCTGGGAAATTAGTAAATACTGAATTTGACAAAGCAAAAATTTTTGATTGGGACAAATCGAAAATTGTAATACCACTCGCCTCAAGACCCTTGAATGTGAATTTATCTGGATCTTTAAAATTGTTATGACCAAAAGAACTGCCCATGCTGTAACTGTTACTGAGAATGAGATTTTGGATTTTGGTACCAGTGATTGCATCAAAAAAACGCTTTGCCACGTTAACGTTAAAGCCGTTTCCAGACAGGTCCAATGAGGTCATGGACATGTTCTTAAATGGCTTTCCACACTTGTCCCATCCTAACCAGTACTCGTTCATGTCTTGCAGAGTCACGGAGGACAGTTTCAGAAGAGTGAAATGTTTACCCTGAAAGCCGAGGAGCTCTTCTTCACAGATGCTCTTCAGTTTGTTGCGAGAGAGATCGAGCCAATGGAATCTCCTCATGTTTAAAAAGAATGACGCCGGCTGGATTCTTTGAATGTTGTTCTCCCGCAAGTCAAGCATCTCCAGAGACACCAGAGGTTTGAGGAAGTCACCAGACAAAATAGCTTCATTTAAACTGCACTGAGTGAGAGTGAGAATCTCAAGGTTGGATAATCCGTTAAACGCTCCAGTCTCTATTTTCAGATAGTTGTTGTAGTCTAGCTGAAGTAATCTTAGATTGGACAGTCTTCTAAACGTGTTGTTTCTGATCACAAGTCCCGGTGTTTGCTGCTCCAGATTAAGGACTTGTAGACCTTCAAGACGAGAAAAGGATGATTCGTTGAGTTCAGCAATGCTGTTAAAACTCAGATCCACAACTTTTACATATGTGGGCAGCTCTGGTACTTCTTGAAGACCTTTAAATGCGCAGAAGGCGGCATAACCGTTAACTGAACACACAGAGGTGCATTTCACAACTTCAGTGCTGATGAACAATGCAAAGAGGATCAGTATGAATGTATATCCCATTCTGAGAGCACTGTGGGAAAGAAAACCAACATGAGAGGCTGCACTATTTAAGTTAATATTATAAGTCAATCTTAGTCATTGTTTACTTAATGTAAAGGTTCACTGATTTAAATATATAAAATAAAAAAGCATATACAATGTTAAAATATAGTCTAATTTAATAAAAAAGCTGACAGAGCTATAATTTAGCGTCTTACCAGGTTCGGTCGCTAATCCATACAGTGTTTTCTTAAGTGTTGTCGTGGTATTAAATACTGAGAACGTTTCAATAACGCAATATATTGTCAAATAAAGAACTACCCGTCTTCCTCTCGCGTGAGTTCCGGCAATATTGAAATCTTCCTCCGTTCTCTCTCCCTTCATTTCATTTGTGCTTCTCAACATTTATGAAATAGGAAATAACTTTCTGACGCAGTGATTCGTTTTCCGGTGAAAGGTTCTTCACGTTTGAGTGCTGTAACTCTGGAAAAACTAGCATTGTTTCAACTTCATTCATAAATTCGGAAGTTTTCAACGGTAGCATGTTTTAACCAGTTACAGAATCGCCGTTCATTTATTTACAAAAACATACAACGTAGTCGTAGATATATACAATTGCACAACTCAGTACTAATGATCAAGGATTAGCCAACAGAAATGACTGAACATTAACTCTTGCCGCTCAAAGAAAAAAAACACTAGCCTTTACTCCGGTTTTAAACGAGGCTATGAAGCCTAACTTGTTCCTTACTGCCCACTAGAGAGCGGTATTAACCAACATCACTAGGAAAACCAGCAGAATCTGTGGGAGGGCAATAACATTGGCCCATACTGGAAATTAAATAACTGAACGTTTAGAAATAGTTTATTAATGCTGCACTGCGCATGTCTTTTCCAATCTATCAGTATATTTGGACAGAGATGTTGACGAAGCAAGAGAGAGCGAAACGGGGTTCTGTAAATGAAAATTGCTACATGTTGTATTAAAATATAATATTTATTATCTTCAAACACCACCATTTAGTAATACTGACATTAATGAGTTATTCAAACTTGTGCAAAGTTAAGTTTTTCTGACACTCTAATAGGGTAACATGAGGGAAGAACAATGTGCATGTATGTTAAAATTGTAACATATTTATATATAAGTTTAGCATAATGGCATCAACCTATGTGCTATTATAGGAAATAAATAAAACATTTGCAAATTTAGTTATTATTACATTTTAAAACTAAAAACAACAACATGCAACTTTGTGCCAATTCTGGGTGGCGCATCTTACCCCATTGGTCTCATCTTTTTACTTCAAAATAAAAAACTAACTTTAACTCGACAAATCTTAAAACATTAATGTGCAAATCCACCATTAACAAACAGACACACTTAAAAAAAAAAACTTTGACATTCAACATACAGTAATAGCAGTATCACAGATCGCTATTTAGATACAAAATTAGATAAATTAACATCAAAACTCTTTTGACTGACAAAATCTCACAAATGTTGATATTCAGATGAAATTACAAAATGTTGTGTCATCTATTGTCAAGGAAGAAAAAAAAGGGGGGGGGGGGTCTTAATTAGGCTACTCTATAGGCTAGTTCATTTCTAAAATGAAATATATTTACTATCTATTCTAGGCTACTATTTACATTTCACTTCGCGTGACGTCCGACTTTAAACGTCTCTTTTTAAATACCTATTTGGGAATGACAGTTCTGTGCTGTTTTTGTCAATGATCACCTGTTGAAAATCGTAGACTTCATCTTGGCCTTTGTGTACATCATAATTGTGCAATTGACAAAAACGTCTCAATGTGCAGTGCGCGAGGCCGACCAGTAAGAGAATACAAGCTACAATGCAAACCATTATTGCCAAAAGACTGCCCGATGAGATTGACATTGGCTTGGTTGGGGGTTTACTCGTAGATATAGCAACATCAAAAGGTGTTGAGCTGCCTGAACCATCAAAATCTTTCTCCTCACATGTGCCATCTTTCAAAAGCAAGTATCCTTCTCTGCAGGAACATACATACCCTCCAGGTGTATTATCACACTTATGGTCACAGTAATTGCTCGTGCATTCATCAATGTCAAGGCACATGGTATCTTCAAGTAGGAAACCATCGGGGCAGTTGCACTGTTCGTTGTTATTGGGGTCACATTCAGCTGGGCACTGTTCTTCTGTACAGTGCATCACACATGTGTGCATGTCATCCTTCGACTGTATGAATCCTTCATAGCATTCACATTGATAACTACCTATAGTGTTGATGCATATGTGCTCGCATGGTCCAGACACGCATTCGTCTTCATCAGCGCTAATGCCACTTTCTTTGTGAAAGCCGGGCTTGCAATCTTCGGGCGACATTGCATACGCAACTTGAATCGCCGGTTCGCATTCCCCGTGCGCACAAGCGTCCTGTGTGCTGCATGTCACTCGGTTACTGTCGAGCTTATATCCTTGCGGACAGATGCATGTAATGTTAGGAATGCTCCCTTCGCACGCATATTCACATCCACCATTAAAAAACTCGCAACTCCAAGGCGCTTGAAGCCAGTCGCCTTCGAAACAAACGTGTTTCGTTCTCAGCGGCTGTAATGTCGCTATTGTGCCTTGAGGAATTTCCTGGAGGAGTTTGTTTGCATTAAATCCAAAAGGAATTTCATATACGACTTCTGAACCGTTGCTCAGTGCCTGACAATATTCAAGGATTTCATATTCGCACAAATAACCATCGATTATGTCATCGCAAGGTCTTTCGGCCCATTTCGGAACTTTTTGTGACACTGAAGCACATCGTGGAGAACAAACCGGTCTGTCGCTTTCCCAGTTGATGTAGTGGCTTGCGTTGTCTCCAGTGACCCATTTGTATCCCTTTAACCCATCGTTCGCGTGTGCACACTGATATTTCAGGCCAAGCCAAAAGTTTCCAGAAGTGCCATTTAACAATTTAGCGAGAATATTGGCTGATTTTCTGTAGCGTACGGTCATCAAATGTCCTCCTCTCTCCTGACAGACTCGCTGCGCCGAATCAAAACTCAAACTGGTGGTTTGGATGGCGAAGCATTTTCCTTCCTCACAGTGACCGTCACTGATTTTCCCCGCGTGAACTTTCAAAACAACGAGCGCCAGCGCCATTCCTATGATCCCTCTCATCTCTGCGGAACCGTTATCTACCGATATTCACCAAGTTATGTGTGGAGAAGTGTCCGTGCTGATAGAGTCCGAGGTGTTCCGTGCCGTATTTATAATGACATCCATGTCTCCAAAAATGAAAGGAAGTCCGTGTTATCCCCCCCCCCCTCTCTCTCCCTCTCTCTCCCTCTCTCTCCCTCTCTCCCTCTCTCTCTCTCTCAGTCTGCGCGCATGTGTCTGGATACATGATATTCATCCTGAGGATTTAATTTCCAAATTAGTTGCCGAGAATAGGCTAGATGTCGCCTTTTCGCCTAATGTTTTGGTTAAACTAGTCCACTCATAGTTAGATAGATAGATAGATAGATAGATAGATAGATAGATAGATAGATAGATAGATAGATAGATAGATAGATAGATAGATAGATAGACAGACAGACAGACAGACAGACAGACAGACAGACGGTTAATTAGTCAACGGCTGCAGTCCATAATTTTTGGGGGGTTAAAAATGAGCCAAAATAAAATTGAGCAAGGCTATAACCATCCAGTGTTTAAAACTCTCTGCTTGCCTTGGCTTGATTCAAAACGGTAAGCTTATAAAAGCTTGTTCAGATTTTTTTCGGTGAAAAACAAAATTAAAAACCAAAAAAACAAACAAAAAAAAACTCATTTTGGTCATCATACTTCTAAAAAGTATAATTTGTGGTTCTGATTGACAGGCATAGGCGTAATTTGCGGGGCTAAATCCGCGTCATCGAACTGACGCTAAAGGTAAAGCCTCAGTTATATGACGCCCTAGGATTGTCATCTAACTGACGTTTACAGTCTATGATAAAACGTCGGATATTGACGGATGGTCCCCACCACCAGGGGTGTTTCTATATGTTTTAAAAAACAGCAGGGGCTGAACCCGAAACATCAGGGGCTGGGGTGGGTAATAAGATAACATGATACAGAGAATAGTCTTATATGCAGGGGCAGAATGGTTAAGAAAAAAACAACATTCCTTGTAGGCCACTGTAATCACACCAGCCCTCATTACCACACAGTCACATTTCATTGGTTGAGGTACATAGGAGAGTTCGGGGGCATTTACTGAGAAAATTCTGAGTTCTCAGACCTACATGTGTGCTTTTTAAAGTGTTTGAAGGTCATAAAAATTGGATAACAATAACTTTAAAAGCATGTCAGTGGGCAGTAGCATAAATTATTCGTCAAGCAGCAGATAACAGATTCTTATGGGAGTGAGGATAAACGTCGTAATGAATGATCCATACTTGGAAATGCAGGGACTTTTCAGCTTATTGTTGACAATACACAATCACATATTCCTAACAGGAATGGCCTTAAATGAGAACTCTTTCAAGGATTATTTTGCATATGTTACATTTCAATCAAATACCAGTGCAATCTTTTTATGTCCAGAGGCAAATGAGCAATTTATTACCATTAAAGATTGGTTTCAGCAACTTGAACCTCAAACACGCTTGGCACCATTTAAAGTACATGCGTGTAATTATCGGATCTATGTATTTCTTCACGTGAAACCAACACAGATTAGATCTCGTTAAACGACAAATTAAACACAATGTACTATTTAAAGCGATTGCTGGACATCGGTATGGTATAGCTATATCTGATTTATGATTTAGCATTGTATTAGATAGATAGATTAAACATTAATTAAACATGCAATATGAGGTCATGTTTTATATTTGCATATCTTTGCACATACGGTATCCATGTTAATCAACCTTATACAGGCAGTAAAAACACAGTCTGAACATGAAAACGCCACCTTTAATAAGAATTTGCTTGTTCTGATTATGATACTGACAGCTGATATGACCAATTGTACAAAAAATAAATAATGGTAATAATATAAAGCACAATTTGATTTACTTCAACGCATTCTCACCCCAAGGCGTCACCTTTGACCATGCTTCAATATTTGACTAGGCGCCCTTAAGCGTCACTTACATGACGCGATCCTACGGCGTCATCTAACTGACGCTAAAGGAAAGCGTCTGTTAGAGGACGCGGTTAGGTTTAGGTGTGGGGTGGGGGTAGGGTACACGCGATCCTAGGGCGTCATCTAACTGACGCTAAAGGGCGCCTAAAGCGTCAGATATTGAAGCATGTCCAAATGCTTCCCAAGGCGTCAGTTAGGTGACGCCTTGGGGGTGAGGCTGTTTACTTGTATGTTTTGTAAGATGTAATTATTAAATTGTGTAATTTGTGTTTTGAGTGTGGGATGTCACAGTAAGGAAAAGGAAAACACCAGGTTGATGAATTCAATACATCCATACACTGTAAAAATGTATTTTCATGAGCTGTTATCACAACTTTTTAAACTTTTGTCAAATCAACTTAGATAGCTGTGGTGCAGATAACATAATATAACATAACATAATATTATCTCCATTGTATTAACTCATTTTTTTATTTATTTAAATGAGCTTAAGACAACCAGGTAACTCGCCTTTTTAAGTTAAACCAACAATATTGTTTTCACATATAGATTTAGACTTAGATTTTGGTGACACCAAAGGGTGGAAGCATTAATCAGTGCCATTGAAGTGCATTTTTTTCCATGACTTCAGTGAAACTGGGATAACGGTGCTCTTAACAAAGGGAGTTTATTTATATTTTGATAAAGGCTGTAGGTGTGCATGATGACTGATAAAACCCTTTTCTTTGGTGTTGGTCAAAGAAAAAACGCACCCCACCCCGACCCACCCTGATGCAGACTTTCTCCTCGTTTCCTTGCACCATCCGTTACACCTCAAACAATCATGTTTAGTTTGCCCCTCCAACAATCCATGAAAGGAAGTCATAGCAAGATGACTGGGATTGTTTTATTAGTGACAAAGACGGAAAACAGGCGGAGAGTGGGCGAAATGAAGTCGACTTTTGTAAGGATCGATGTCCTGATTGAAGCACGCATGAGAACAGGCCATTCTTAAATACTACACGGCAAAATCCCCAGTGTTAAATTAACACTCAAAACAAAAGTGTGAATTATTTAAACTCTGAGCAGAGTGTTAAATGGACACTGAAGCAGTAATTGAGTGATGATTGAGCATTATTGAAGACACCCGATGTTAACAAGCAGATTCACTGAGGAGAAAACCGGAATGTTTAAGTCACCATTATGATGATCAGTGTTTGCTTTAGTTGGGCTCTTGACCCTTAATTCATTAACTTTAGATTTTGTTTGGCTGCAGTATGAGTTAAAACAGCCGGATGAACAAATAGAAAAGGTGATATGATGGTGATGGTTGTGTTTTAACATAATCATTATTTCACAATCATTTGACCAATCATTTGATTACGCCCGTTTCACAATACTCTGTTTGCAGTGTACACTCTAAAAAATGCTGGGTTGTTTTAACCCAAATTTGGGTAAAATATGGACAAACCCTAATGTTGGTTTAAAAATCTAATTTTAAATTTTACCGCAACTAAATTTTTTAAATTACATTTTTAACCCAACATTTGGGTTTGTCCATATTTTACCCAAATTTGGGTTCAAACAACCTAGCATTGTTTAAATCAGCATATATATATATATATATATTTTTTAAACTACTAACCTTTGTATTTCTCAATTCTGGGATGTTAGCGAGATGTTCCTGTTCTTATTTTGGTGACTTATTTTTTCTCTTTTTAATGGCAGGAAATTGGAGGGAAACGTCAGAGACAGTGATTCAGTCCGTCACCACTTTTCCATTTTTAATCGGTGAGTTATGCACGGTCAAGCACCACTCATATCATCAAAACGTATACTAATTTAGAAATCGTTCCTAAATGTTTATTAATAAGTAATATTAATTCTTAACTAGGGTGCAGTCAGCTTCCTTAGGTATTGTCAGCTTTCTTTCCAGTCATATCCTCAAGAAGAAAGAAAGGATGTCGTTATTCTTCTTTTTATCTAGTGAAATCTTTTGCACCTAGAAAGAAGCAAATGGCTCCTTTAGATCCTACCCTAATAAGAGAATCATTTGATTATGTTATCTTTTGTTGCACGGGGCATCACAGATCAATTCTATTCAATTCTATAAAATGCATTGCGTGACTTTAATCACGACAAGTCACAGTCGATTTATCATTAATAAACAAAATAGTTTGAAGACACTTTGTCCATGCATTGGAAGTGTTAAACCCGATGTAAATCTCGCAAAAGAGGCCTTCATGAACATTTTATGTTTCCATTGTGCTCTCACAAAAGCTGTTAAAAAGTCACGGGTCATATTTTAACCTAAAACCGAAAGAATAATTCATTTATGTGGTGCAATTTTAATTTCCTGAAGCAATACATATAGTAAAAAAATATTATTGTAAAGAAAATCTAATGTAGTCATTGAATAATTGCATTTTTAAAAACAATAGGAAGAAGGACAAATGGAAGAAATGTGCAAAAAACTGAGCATTGTAAATGCTTACAAATAAAGGATAATGTTTTAGTTATTTTTATTTATTGGCAGTTTTGTTTCGATAAAGATGTTGCATAGAATCTTTCAATTCCACAAAATGGAAAAAGGGTTTTAAAAATGTTCTTCACACTTAGAAAAAGGGTTCTTTTGGGAAACCTAAAAGGGTTCTTCGATTGGGACTTTCCCTGAGGAACATGGTTTCTACAGCTATTGGAGGAAATACATGCTTTTTTGACATATTTGCACCACATGGATCATTTTAGTTATAGGCTTTAGGGGGACTAAACTCAGGGTAGGGTCTAATCCAGCACGTTGATTGGCCGAATGCATGCCATACAAAACACCGGCATCCGCCATTTTGAAAATGCCATGTGAACACACAGTTTACATATAATTTATGAAGACAGCTGCAAGATTCATCACTGGACCTTTATTTTGAACTCTTTCCCTGCCATGGATGGAATTTTCCGGCTTTCCGTGTTTTCACTGTTATATTGGGGCTCTGCATCTTCTGAAAGAGGGAATCTCCAGATCAAAACAGGCAAAAAAGGAGCCGAAACCAGCGATAAAAGCATTTCTTATGCACGTTGAAGTCGTTGGTGGGGGGAAAATGTGATTTTCTCAGCTTTTCGTTCAAAATGTTGCTATAATAAAATATGGTAAATTAAAATAGGGTCTTTCTTCTGATATATTAAATGTTCAGATATTCATACATCAAAATATTCTGAGGGCCATCAAAATTTGGTGAAAATGATTTTTTTTAAATGCTGTGGCTGTAATAGTATAGAAAAATGTATATATATAAAGCAATTGTTGTATTTTTCTTTCTTTTTGACTTTGCTTAAATTCACTTTCAAAAACCTTTTCCGTCCAGGACTGTACAACAACTATCCCTTTAAAAACAGCATTACTAAATCACGCCGCTTCGCCAGTTAACGTAACACGTCGTGTTCTTAGCAATGTGCTTTTACATATTTTTGTAAAAAGTCATCCACTCAAAAAGAAAAAAAAAAATACGAACCTCCAAATCTGTAAGTCTTGTCTTCTACCCCGAGACAGGAGATCTCTCCCTGCAGATAAAGCCGTAAAACACATCCTCCCTTTCCTCTCCTCGTGTTTTTGGATTCTGCTGACTTCTGACATGCTTTTATTGCTTTACCGTTCACAGATGACCTGTAAGCTGCCAACATCACTCTTGACGCAAATGCTTATCCTAAAGGTTTGCAACTTTTAAAATACCTTGATGCAGTTTCAGAAGAAATGATGAATTAAGATATAAATAAAGATATATATATATATATATATATATATAAATGCACATGCAATCAAATATTGAAATGCATTTACTTGCATTGTTATTGTTTTTGTTTTTTTAAGGATATCCCAGCATTCCTCTCACATCAATCACGTGTGTGTCAGGTCTTATTTTTCAGTGAGTATACAGTATGGCATGCAGCGTGATAGGGTTATGAAGAGCTAGATGCTTGACATTTTACTCTTTATTGAAATCATGTTAATGTTAAATTTCTAGGTTCCTATTATTTATTTTTCAGGGTGATGAACCAAAACCCTGTCTACTGGTGCAAGAAATGACTCTGATCATTGTTATTGTGAGGTGAGGAGAAAAGCCACATTAATATATTTAGTTTCAATTAGATGCACAAGTCAGCTGAAAATAAAATAAAAAATATTGAAGTACGTTATAAAGGAAAATACTATTTTAGTCTGTCTAAAAAGTTTCACGTTTGATTCAGTGTGTCAGCATGCTATTCTTTGTGAAATTTATTAGGAATTGAATGGACATGTAACACTAATTTTTTGGGGGTCACACTTTAAATTAGGGTCCAATTGGGCTGATGTGAATTAGGGCTGCCAAACAAAATCTAAAGTTAATGATTTAATGGTCAAGAGCCCAACTTAACCAAACACTGATCCCCATAATGGTGACTTCAAATTTAGATTTTCTCCTTCAGTGATTCTGCTTCACTGAAAAAAAAAATGATTTTTTGGTAAGGTACATACTATTGAAAAAACCCCAATGTAATTTACATTGTACTTGTAATTTAATTGTAATTTACATTGTAATTTACATTACAATGTAATTCAAGAATAAAAAAACCTAAGTGAATTCCATATCAGTACTTAGTTCAAGCGAGTAGAAATGAAAGCATAAATATGAACTCAATAAAATCAAGTAAAAATTGCTTTTCTGATACTGGGGTTCCCATCATGCACTGGACCTTGAATAATTAATGAGGTTCATTTTTCACTGGTTCCAGCTGTATTTACACTGTTTTATCATTGCTTTTTGTTGTCAGGATTAGTAACTTGCCATTTTGTGACATTTTGAGGAAATTTTCTGCTCAAAATGACACATTCAAACACAAAAACGATCCATCAAATGTTACCGTCATTGTGTATTGTCTACCAAGTATTGAGGTGTTTGCATTCACATCATGTTTAACATCTGACATGATGAAATATAAATTACTTACATAGGCGAAGTAAAACACATACTATAAATGACTGCATCATTCAATAAAATTGTTTGAGTGAAAATGTAATGCAAAGGAAATTACAACTAAATCGATATTAATCAACCTTTTACTAGCCAAGTTACTTATATTCTTTGTTACTTTCACTTAACTAAAGTAAAGTTTACTTAATTCCATATTCCAAGTAAATTTTAACTTAAGATTTCTAATTCATGCTACTGATAAATATGTTTAGGTTTTTACTTGGCAAATCTTTGTAAATTTACTAGCATTTTCTGAGTGGAAAAAGTTGCCTAGCTTTTTTCAAGTAAATCCTACTCCACGTTTTTTTCAGTGTTGTTAACATCAGGTGTCTTCAATAATGCTCAATAATCACTAAATTATTTACTTAATGATCTCATTAACCTTAACACTGCTTCAGCGTTCATTTAACACTCAGCTCAGAGTTTAAGTGGGTCGCTTAAAATACGTGTACACAAATTATGTTTATTTAACGTTGTGGGACCTGTTGACATAAAAAAGTTAATTAAAGCCAACATATCATTTTTTTGAGGCAATATCCGAGTAATATGCATGCTAAGAAGCAATTAGTTAATAGTAAGAAGTGAACCCTGAACTAAAGTGTGATTATTTTTTTTTAGTGATGAAATATGACAAGGTTTAGTGAGGTGAAAATCCGCATTAATATAAACTATTAATAATCGCTTCAGTGTTTCGGACTGTGCCCGTGTGCTGGACAGACTGCTCGGCTCCGGGCTTGAAGGCTCTTTTTGTTATGCAATTTTAAAGCTATGAGGTAAAACTATGTGGTAAAAACAAGTGAAGACAGTCAGAGCTGCATAATTCACTCTAAATGCATCAATTGTCAAGTGTCTTGTTGCTTGCTCTGACATGTGACATGTGTTTTCTTGCATTAAATGACTGATGGATTGGAAGAATTTGAAATGATGAGAATGAGATAATGCAGAATCTGATTTATGACTCATTTTACCCTGCAGTTTCTCAGACCAGGCTTTCGTGATCGTCTCTTGATAGCATGCCATGGTTTAGTAAATAATATGCATCACTTTTTCTTACACATATCTAAATTTAATTTGCATGGTGATGTAATCCCTTAGAAGGGAGTGTAAAGAAGGGTTGATAGAATCATTTCCCTATAAAACATTTGTTTTCTCCATTTCTTCCATATACAGACTTGACTGATCATCTTCTGAAGAAAACAGGACTGTTTCCACATGCAAAAGTTGCCGGCACAATGCTAATGTGTTTTTGAGTTGTTCTGAAGAGGTTTTAATGCATTTCAGAGCTAGAGTAATAGTAAGGCACACACTCTTTGACTATGAAACATGACTGTCTGCTCTCTTCACTGTAAACAGTGAGGCCTCGACTGGGTTAAAGGGAAAACTCGATTATCCCCGGAGTCCAGCGATGTTTTTTTGGAGGACATCCAGTCTGTGCCTGTTCCACTGGAGCTCTGAAAAACATCCCGGCCCGATCGGCACACCTTGCATGATTCAAGACCAGGCGGTGGTCGTTTAGCATTGGTCATTTTGATATAAGATCTGTATATGCATGAGTGTTTACATTGGCAGGCGTTATGCACAAAATCCTTAAAGGAGGCGTTTCTGTTACTGAAACAAAGCTTATGTGACTTGAAATATAGAGCATATGGAGTCTATAAATATAACTGTACTGTTATGCTAATTCCAATGTGTTTTACAGATTTACGAGAAATAACCGTTTGTTCAGAAATGGTCTTTTTGTGTTCAGCATGAGGGTGAGTAAATGCCTGAAATGTTCATTTGATGTGCGTTTGGCAAGAGCTCCCCAGCTGTGATCATATCATGCATGAGGACATCAGAACTATCTCAGTGGATGAAAACGAGCTATATTTATCTGAAATAAAGAGGAAACCATGAAGACTTATGGTTCCCTCCAGATTGTATAATGTTGCTTTTAAGTTTATGAGTGAAATAAGGTCTGTGCTAAACATAACTTGAGGAAATTTGAAGATTTTGTTCTGCAATGTAAACTGCACACACTTTCTATCTAGTTACTTATTAGAAACTATGATTTAAATGGGTGGTAAAATGCCATTTTCATAAGATGTCCCCAGAGTGTGTGAAGTTTAATCACAAAATAAATTTCATCAAGATATTTTTATAAAGCATGTTGAAGTTGTCACTTTTTTGAGGGTTTGCAAAAACGCACTGTTTTGTGCCTGGCCCTTTAAATGCAAATGAGCTGCTGCAGAGGGCGGGGTTTCAAGTTGTGTTTACTATACAGACCTTACTCTAAAAAATGCTGGGTTGTTTTAACCCAATTTTGGGTCAAATATGGACAAACCCAGCCATTTTTTAAATGACATTTTTAACCTTATAGACAAATATTGACCAACCCAGCATTTGGGTTTGTCCATATCTGACCCAAAATTGGGTTGAAATTGGGTTTTTTAGAGCGATTCGAGAGAGAAGCAACAAAAACATTTCGGATTCTAAATTTATTTAATTCAAAAGAGTTCCTCCTCAACACTCTAAAAATGCTGGGTTGTTTTAACCCAACTTTTGGTCAAATATTGACAAACCAAAACGTTGGGTTAAAAATGTAATTCAAAAATTTAACCCGATGACTGGGTTTGTCCATCTTTGACCCAAAGTTGGGTTAAAACAAACAACCCAGCATTTTTACATAATAATTAAGATTTGAATAATTAAGTTTTTTTTCCTCGCCAGGGCTGCATTTATTTGATCAAAAAATGCAGAGAAAACACTAATATTGTGAAATATTTATTATAATTTTAAAGATACTTTTCCTATAGTAGACTATAATTTATTCCTGTGATCAAATCTGTATTTTCAGCATCATTACTCCAGTCTTCAGAGTCACATGATCCTTCAGAAATCACTCTAACATGAGTCATTATTCAGTCGAAATAACTGCACACATGTTTTCATCAAAGACAGACTTTTACTGACCAATTGCTCGTGAGATTTTTGAAGACATAAAGCTCATTTTATTAGGCATTATTAAACTAAAAAATGCATCAGACAACTAATACCAAGACATCAAGCAATTCCCTTTCCAACATGTTTCGCAAACAGACTGCGGTGAAAGTGATGCTGTGATTTCTTTTTTTTTAGCAGAACAGCTGAACGTGTGTGTGTGTGTTGTGTGTGTGTGTGTGGAGTGAGTAACTGTCTGTCTGTCCTGTTTCTGTCCTCGTGTGATGTCATCGCTGACGTGCTTATTGTGACTAAAACACACAGAGCTGGGATCATCATCAAACATGTGGACCTTTAATAGTTTCAATAGTCTGTGCGTAGATTATAACTCATAACCGGTGTCTGCCTAGAAACGTCCCGCCTTTTCTACAGAATAATTCTACTAAAGATATTTGTTCTGCACTACAGTGTGTCACAGAAAGTGTTATTTTACTATTAGTTATATATACCTTTTTGGGAGGGGATTTCATTTTAAAATTTTAGCACTTTCTTTTTGGATTTAGTTTTTTTCTTTTTCTTAAATAAATCTGTTATTTCAGTTAATTTATTCATCATTTACATTTATTTTGTTGAAGATTTTAAGTTTAAGTTTATCAGAGGTCTTGTTTGGGTCCATCATAATCTATTATTACCCGTCATTTTATTTATTTTTTCATATTTTAATGATAACAACACTGGTCGCAGATCATTTTAAACCAGAAACATTCCTTTCTATTTCAATGTTTCAATCATGCGAACACTTTTCATCATAAAAAGATGGCATGAAGTTTTTTTTTTTAAATCAATTTGAAAATTCACATTTCTTTTGCATTTTTATCTGCAGAAATGTTTTAGGTTCTTAATCATTTACATGCAATGCACCATGTTTGTAAACAGGTATGTGAAGCCCTGCTGCACTGAAATTCTCATGAGGACCTTGAGCCGTTTGGACCCCATTGAAGTCCATTATATGGAGAAAATCCTGGAATGTTTCCATCAAAATCCTTAATTTCTTTTCGACTGAAGAAAGAAAGACATGGACATCTTGGGTGACATGGGGGTGAGTAAATTATCAGTAAAAGTTTTGTTAAAAATGAACTAATCCTTTAATAGCAGTGTAACAATATATTTCAATGCAAAAATATGTATCAATATGTATAGTGACAATATATATGGTTCACCCAAAATGAAAATTACAGCGTGAGGAAGAAAAATTCACGTTTTCAGAGTTTTAGTGTCAGTACTACATTAAACTATTATGTATAGTGTATAATAATGCAGCGCAGTCTCATCCCAAGAGGATATTTGTGTGTCCCGATAACGCCATTGTGGCATACATTATTTTAAATCTATTCAGGGAAAGAGTGCAAGCATATTCATCTAAAATAATTCTGTATTTTCATCTTCAGAATCATGAATGTTTTTATTCTGGTGTCACTATTGTCTGTGCATTGGGTTTCCAAAGTCCAAGCCTATTCATTTACACACACAATGTAATATCAAATTTAGTATTTCATGTTGTTAACCTTTTACCAAATGTCTTGAAGTATCAAGTGATATATCGAATCAAGACTTCTTCATGATCCATTGGCACACACTTTCAACTTGCATTGCACTGCATATTTATATGTATATGTGTGTTTGACTTTACCAGTTTAACCTTCAAATGGTCTTTGTTTCCTGTTTACACTTCTGGGCTTCGCGGATACGACCCCAACAATCGATTGAGTAATTGTACAAAAAATATAAATTTTTAATCATACAAATAATATATCTTTTTTTTTTTTTTCTTCTCATCTATTCATTAATGCTGTGTTTTTGGAGATATAAAGCACTTTTGTATCCATATACCACACAATTCCTCAACTACACCATTAGCTTGCATATGATTTTTTTTTTTTTTATGATACATTGCATTTATGCTCTAGAACTAGGCCTTCATTTCTGTGTAAAAATTTTCAGATTTATGCCGGATTTTTTTTTTTTTTTTGACATGAAGAAAATATATTTAGTTTTTTCACATTTCCCATTCATTTCAACACTGAAAAAAATGTGGAGTAGGATTTACTTGAAAAAAGCTAGGCAACTTTTTCCACTCTTTCCAAAATGCTAGTAAATTTACAAAGATTTGCCAAGTAAAAACCTAAACATATTTATCAGTAGCATTAATTAGAAATCTAAAAATTAAAATTTACTTGGAATATGAATTAAATAAACTTTACTTTAGTTAAGTGAAAGTAACAAAGAATATAAGTAACTTGGCTAGTAAAAGGTTGATTAATATCGATTTAGTTGTATTTTCCTTTGCATTACATTTCACTCAAACAATTTTATTGAATGATACCAGTCATTTATATCTATCTAAGTGTTTTACTTAGCGTATCTAAGTAATTTATACTTCATCATGTCAGATGTTAAACATGATGTGAATGCAAAGACCTCAATACTTGGTAGACAATACACAATGACAGTAACATTTAATGGATCGTTTTTGTGTTTGAATGTGTCATTTTGAGCAGAAAATTTCCTCAAAATGTCACAAAATGGCAAGTTACTAATTCTGACAACAAAAGCAATGATAAAACAGTGTAAATACAGCTGGAAACCAGTGAAAAATGAACCTCATTAATTATTCAAGGTCCAGTGCATGATGGGAACCCCAGTATCAGAAAAGTTGAGTAATTTTTACTTGATTTTATTGAGTTCATATTTATGCTTTCATTTCTACTCGCTTGAACTAAGTACTGATATGGAATTTACTTTACTAACTTTTTCTTGTAAATTACATTGTTTTTTTTTCAGTAGTATTTACCTTACCAAAAATCATTTTTTTCAGTGAATGCGGGGTCATATTGAGCCCGACGACCGGAAGTGTAAACGTTTTTTTTTTTTTTCACCTTCAGAACAACCGAATCAAGCCCAGTTTTTTGTGTGTATAGATAAATAATGTATATATGAAAAGTCACAAAATCTTATTCCACTGAGATGAAGGGAACCTTTTTTTATTATTTATTAAGTAAAAGTCAATAGGGGTCATAGACCCCATGACCCAATTGAGGGCTAACAGGAACACAAGCCAAACACAATGCTTTTCCCTACAGACACATTTGCTCGGCTGCGTATGTACAATAGCTCTATACATTCGAATACAAGCAGTTTTCCTGTTTCTTGTTTGCCACTCGTGTTGCCATGCGGCGTATAAAGCCGAAGCGTATTTTTAGTCAGCTGTTCTCGAAACACCCCTGGATGACCTTACAGGCACGTCCATAACTTTAAAAGCACTTGGAAAGTGACAATAGATTTCCTTGATTCTTTCGTATAGTGCTCGGGGTTTAGGAAATGACTCCTTCCCGGAGGAATCTCACTTTATCGAATCTATTAATGAGTTAAGCACTAGTTTTGTTGGTTATAAATAATTGTACAGCATCTGCGAGCTCCGTCAGTCCAAGCTATTGTTTTTAATGATGTGTCCTCGGCATCGAAAACCGTGTCATTTCTCAAAAGTGCTGTAAAGTTCACGAACACCTTCAAGCTGGTGAAAGGTTGTTGATGTGAGCTAACACAAAAAACACTGATGTTCTTCAGGGATTTTACACTTTTACACGTTTATATGATTTATATGACGAAATGTCACTTGCCACCCATTTTATTTTTGTAATGTGAAATTAAATATTCAATGAAAATATGTTGTTTTATGGAAAAGTGTTTCTGCAAGACAAATCTGCAAATGAATCTGTGGAAAGTGGAAAGCAATAAAAGAAAAACCTGAACAACAATCTGAAATAAAGGTTGAAAAGTTCAGAACTAATTAATCCAATAAAATAAAAAGACTTTAAAATTGCTCTGAATTTGAAAAAGTAGCTTATAAAACGTTGTAATTTGGAGATCCAATGCTGTAAAGACTTTAACATTTACTAATGAAAGACACTTTTCATCATCTGATCAATTCCTGATGAGTAAAATCTTTTTTTGTTAATGCTACATATTAAGTTCAACTCAATTTAGTTTGTTCACTCTAATAATGCTGCAACTTTGGGTAAAATATGAACAAACCCAGCCATTGGGTTACATTTTTGAATTACATTTTTAACCCAACGTTTGGGTTTGTCCATATTTTACCCAAAGTTGGATTAAAACAACCCAGCATTTTTAGAGTGT